TATAATTTCTGCTTTTCTACAGCAAAGGATCTACTCTTCTGTCTAAGAACTTCTGAATATTATTTCTTGGTGATTCACTGTCCATCTCCTGTTCTTTCCACTTTGTTGTAATCACTGTTGGGTTTTCCCTGGACTTCTATATCATATTGTATCATATCATGCTGTATGTATCTTATAGTATCATATCTTTATAATTAACATCTTGTTAATGCTCAGAGGCTGAAAACCCATCCTTGCATTAGGAATAAAGTTTTAGCTTCTTTTCCATTCAAGAAGAATGAGTTATTGGGTTTTATTTTGGTGTTTTGTAGCAATAATATCCTACATCAATACAACACAACTTCCTGTGAGTGTGTTGCCAATTTTTTTTAAGAATGGAACACTGGAATTGATACAGAAATTAAACTATGGTGATGCAGATGAGTAAAATATATGTGCATATGGAGGTCATCCTCTGTAGGTTCTTACATCTACAGTAAGCAGTCATTACTGAGGGCATAATTCTTGCCACAACTCAGTTCTGTCAGTCCCCAGGAAACTGAGACCAAGAACAAGAATCCAACACTCTTTTTCTCCAAACTTGCTACAAGCCATGTAATTCTCATTCCCACACCCACTCTCTATTATACAAGTGACTGTACAAATAGAGCACTTTAAAAGAGCTGATATGTGGGCTCAAGTAATATCTCCTATTTATTTTCTTATGGTTTTGATCGCAGTGCCTTCAAAGGTAAGTTAAACAATTAATGTTTTCCTCTCTTGATGGTGAGTTTGTATACCTACACATAGAACTGTGTATACAAAGAGAGATGTGTCTTGTATGTAAACATCTCAATCATTTGTCTCATGTTTGCTTTTGCTGGCAGGCACAGCTATTCATGCCTGTATGCCTGGGTGCAGGACTGTATACGGACACATCCATTAATGTTCTTGTTGTATATACATGCATGGATGTGAACATCCAAATTCTGTCTACCATCATGAAATCTTCCATGACTACTAGAACTTAACATTTCAGTATAAAAAATACTGCTTAGAGCAGCAGACCTACCTGTAGCACAAAGATACATGTTGATATTTAAGCAAACAGTTAGAACACTTTGGTAAATCACTGTCTCTGCATTCTATTGTATGTTATCTCCTTAAATATATTGCAGAATTACTACAAATTATATATATAAAATTACATATATTT